TGAGGAAAATTAAACCAATTCCAAGGCATCATGGTATCAAATAGATAAACCAATCCCAACATTCTCAGAAAGTCAATGACTTCATGCGTAACTAATGGAGAGATTTCCTTTACTTGCAATACAGCTCAATATTCTGGTAATATCCAGAAAAGCGCAAGGACAGTTAACCATCCAGAACTAAATACATGAATGCTTTCACCTGGGTATGTGCACTGATTTAAAATGAAATCTGGAAGGGACTGTACTTTATCATCTTTTTTTGAATGTTTCCTATTTAGTATTCTTTTAAAATGGCTTTGTGACTTCTCGTTTTGTACTGCTGAGTCATAACCAACTCATAGCTGACCTCCAGTGAGTTTTCAAAGGCAGTTAATAGCACGGTGGAAGACTGCCCATCTTTCTCTGGTGGATTTGAAGTATGTGCCTTTAAATTGGCAGTACAACTCCTTACCATTACACCACCACAGCTCCCTAGGGAACTACACAGGACTAGAACATGAGTAGGTGACAGGTAAGCTAACCAACCAGCCTCCTTGTGCATTTGCCGTATACATCTCCAACGAATCCCTTGGGATAAAAGGTCCTACAGCCAGAAACATTGGGACAAAAGGACAAACATTTACAACTTTTGATAGACCTGTAGAATGGAAAGACTCCCAGTTTATGCCACTTGTCTCTGGCAGCAGACAGGAACTTTCCTAGCACTCAGCCTAGGCAATGAGCGCGGCTCATGGCATGAGGCAGGCGTTGTCTCTGTGGATGACTTGCGCGTGTGAGCCAATGTCGGTCTCAGGATGTTCACATCAGGCACTCACAGGAAGAGAATGGGCCACATAGAGCTAAAAGCTTGAGAGCCAACAAAAAAAAGGGGGGGTTTTTTTTGGACACAGGACATGCAGTGCAGCAAGAGAAGTAAAGCCTTTTAAAATATGGAAGTTCTCTTTAGACAAGGTCTGGCCGACAGTCTGGGGCTGACATGATGTCCTCCAGACTTTCTGGCAGACAGACAAGGGAGCTGTGAGCACAGCACCCCACGTGCTCCAGCTCTGATCTGGGCACCACCAGGGGCCTGGAAGGGCACCTGCCAGTTTCTACTTTCTACAATCACAGGCTGCCCAACAGCCTGGCTGCTGTACTTGCCAGCAATTAGGAGTACCTGTGGGGTACGACATGGGCCAGGGGCTTCATGCCAACTACTCCCATTTGTAAACCTTCCGAATAAGGGAGCTGGAAAAGGGCCCCCCACACCAACCGGCCTTAAGGGCCCTCTGCAGGATGATGGCCACAACCCAGCAGAGTGGGTTTTCGGCGATACAATGAGTGCAGGAACCCTCCAGGAGGTCAGCTTGTTGTGGGGGCGATGGGCACGTGCAGGAGGTTCCTGTGTGGCTGGGCACAGCCCCTTCCTCTCCTCTCCATGGAGTTGTCACAGGGGGGTGGTGTATAGCATGCTGGACTAAAACCAAAAGGCCATGTGTCTCCCGCGGTTCAAATCTACCAGACTCGGAGACCCGACACATGGTCACTAAGAGTTGAAATCCACACAGTGGCAGTGAATGAGCTTTGAAGACAAGATAGGGAGTGTGTCTCCTGGTTGACCCCTGGCAAGACTGGAAGGCAGAACCTATGCCTCCACCAGCCCCCACTGACTTTCCCGTCTGCCCACGTTTCCTTTGTACTTACCCGTGTAGAGGAGGCAGCCCCTGGTTGGTTCCTCTCACTCCTGAGAACCAGGTAGAGTGATAGGCCATCTCCCCTATGAGGAGTCTGGGTGTGAAATAAACACGGACACTATTTTTTGTAATCAATGATTTTTTTATCTTTGAAAATGGAAGCGAGTGTTTTGCCAGAACAACGACGGCCGCTCTATAAGAGCCGATCTAGGAGCAATCCACTGGTTCTCCTCTGGGATAGCACGGCTTTTGAAAGGAAAAAAAAAAACTCCCCAAACAAAACACAGGACAGAACAGGGGCAGGGGGACCCACACTGCTTCAGGCACCAATCTGAGCCGGGCTGGGCATCTGTCCATCAGACAAGTCACAGGCTACAAACTAAAACCCACCAGGGGACCTTCTCGCCCTCCTGGAACCAAAGGCGCATCACCACCACCAACCATGATTCTGTTTACCTTACAGATTTGCTATGACAACCCTACAAACATTTCCACATCAGAAACACAAAAGCCCTCAGCAGACCACGTGGAGGAAGACATGCACTGGAAAGTATGCCTTCACATCTCACTATCCATTTTGACGCTAAAACACACACATACACATACACACACATACACAAAACCACACCAAACGTCCAGGTGACCCGAGCCGGTGGAAGGAGGCCACAGTGCTGCTGTCATAGGGGACCTTCCCTACACAGGCACTAACCCCAGCTCCACTATCCCACCACTGCCTGCCATGCCCAGCTGGTGCCCTGACTTCCTGCTCGCATTTCTCCTGCCAGTCCTTGTCCCCATGCCATCACCAGCATAGGCAATTGGCCCTTTCATGGACCCAAAGGCATTAGACATTTGTCGTTCAACCGCTCAGCCCTTTCTCATGACAGAGGGCCCTGCCGCTGGAAATGGGGGACAGTTCTGTGCTCTGATGTACCCTGAGGGAGCGGGGCAGGAGAAGCACGCCTGTGCAGCGGGCATAGAGGGCCCTGTGATCATGTGCTTCAAGTGGCAGCTAAGCTCCGAGTGCCAGATCATGCGGTTCTCACCACTCTTCCCCAATCTTGATATTCAACAGTGCCCTCGGGCCTTGTCTAGCTGGACAGGAGGGAGGGCTGGGAGGAGGAGGAAGAGGAGGAGGACTGGAGGGAGCCCTGAGAGAGGATGCTGTGATGTGAGGAAGGGGAAAGGGCAGGGAGCTCAGGAGAGCCACTTCTTCCTCCAGGACATCAGGGACCCCAGGGAACAGCAGGGACCCTGGGGACAGCAGGATAGCCACGGGCAAACACACCCCAGCAGCTCTGAGTCTCCACCACTGTGTGTACTAAAGTGAGGCAGACCACTGACACCACCACCACCAACTGCAATAGCTCTGGACACCACGTGTGTGCCTCCTAGTCCCGGGAACCCTTGTCAAGTATTCATCAGAACATGAAACACGAGGTCTAAGGGGGGACGAAGGCAGTCGAGCCTATGTGTGGAGCAAAACAGCAGAAACATGGACTAATTTAGCTTAGATTATAATCATGTGAAGTACAGAATTAACCAAGGAGCAAAAAATATCCATTCTGGCACCAGGACCCAATTTCTAGAAAACAGACTCCCCCCCCCTTTTTTTTTAATGAAAGGATTCAATGAAATAAGAGAAGGCAGGGCTTTGAATCCACCTGATTCCCTAAGCATTCCATATGCTTGCTCACAGGGCTGACAAGGCCAGCACAGGGCCTGGGCACCGCTCTATGTGTTTGCAGAAGAACATTTATACAAAAGAATCTTCATCTTCACTTTGTTTATAAACATACACAGTGCTGTCCCTTTCAAATTCAGAAGGAGGAGAAATTAAAATCACACACAAATACTGCAAAGTGGCATGATACAAAGGGAAGGGCGTGGCAGGAGCACAAAGCTACGTTTGGTTTTGGCAATGTTGAAGAGAAAAAAAAAGAGAGAAATAAGGGGGGGAAGCATTGTGGCATTGGTCCCTACTCGTAAAAAAGGTACTTGGGCATGACACGGAAATCAGACTCGGTTTGTTTTCTAAAATCCTGGGTATCTGGGATTGTTAAAAGTAGCACTTCAGTCTTTTTTTTTTTTTAAAAAAAAAACCGTTCTGCAAGTCACATAACATTTAACACATCAGAAAAGGCTTTTTTTGAGGAAAAAGCTCAGCTTTTCAAATCACTTTTTTTTTCTGCAAACTGGGGAGACAAGATTGGGCCCTCACGGGAATGTGGCTCACTGCTGGCTGACAGATCGGAGATGGAAGGTCCTGGATGGCAGCGCCGCCCTGTCCCTCCCCAGGGTGGGGGGACCCCACATCATAACCAGCCCTGAGCACCAGTCCTTGCTCTGCTGAAAGGAGGCAGGGGCCCTCAGGCAGCTATCTTCGCCATCTGCTGTTCCAACTTGGAAATGCGCTCGTCTTGATTGCAGATTGTGTCTTTTATAGATTTGATCTCCTTTAAAATCTCATCCAGCTTGGCTTCGTTTTGCTAAGAAAAGACACACAAAAAGCAAGGTGAGCAGGTGGAGGGAGGGCAGACGACTTAAAATCAGTAACCAAGACCCAATAGTGTCAAGGATTTATAGGGTGGATTTTATCATTTTTCTAGTCCAGAGACAGTGAAACAGTGATGTGGGGAATAAAAGAAACTGAAAATCCTACAGCATCTGGTCCTTGTGGGGTGCAACAAATGGTCAGTGCATGTGAATGGAGCGGGTGACCTTGTGTCACTGGGCTCCCTCTGCTCCTGGGGCCTAGCACAGAGTCCCAGGACACAGGAGCTGGAGGGCAAGGCTGAGTCCTTTCAAGCTGCCCTCTATCCCAGCCTCCTGCTCGAGTCATATTTGACCGGGACAAAGGGTGACTCTTTCTCAGGGCCCAAGTTCCTTGCCCTGTCTTGCTGACTCTCTCTTCCCTGCACCTGTGCAATGTTTTATGTCTGTCTACATCAAAATGGGTTTACCTGGACAGTGAGGAAAACGCCTCGTGCTCCCATGTCCACTGACCAATATCTCAAAAGCCCCTGCAGTCGTGTCAGAACTGACCGATAGCTGCCTCCTCACCGGGTTTTCAGAGGCAATAAATCGCATGACAGGAGACTGCCCATCGTCCTCCCGAGAAGTGGTTAGTGGATTTGAACTGCCAGAGAGACGTGACCTTTTTGGCCAGCAGCACAGTTCTCTATGAACGGTGCCACCAGAGCTCCCTTACCCACGTCTAATGTGGCGGCTAAGCTGAACGTGCCCTGTACCACACATACATATTGTCAGGTGAAACACGACTTCTTATAAGCAACATGTAGCATCATTTACTGAAAACACACCCCCTCTCATAGGCTGGGCCCAGGGCGGCCACCACCCTGGACAGTGAAGCAGACAGGACCCCAAGCCGCTCCCCTCGAGCTCATCAAGGCCTTACCACGCTGGCCGGGTCTGCAGTTTTCTTGGGGACATTTATCAGGTCGCACTTCTTGTTTGGCATGGGCTTGCTGTCCAGTATGTTCTTCTTGACCACCTTGAGATCCCGGTTTTTGCCTGGGATGTAGCCGTGCTTCAAGGAAATGAGGATGGGGTCTGCATTCTTGCCCTCAAACCACTCCTCAGCCTCCAACGCCGCCTCGGGCCCTGCTGTGTCGGGATACAGGTCATCTTGGAAAAGGTCGGACTAGAAGAGATGTTGTAGGGAGACCCTTAGGTGAGGAGAAGAAAGAAATGGCGGGATTTTTTTGGTTTTTTTTTTTTAAAAAAAAAGCTTGAATGGCCTATAAAACTGGGTACTCACCTTCCTGGGAACAGTCATGATGATGGGCTCACACTTTCTTTCGTGAAGTTTGAAGAATCTTAAAAGAGGAAAGAAAGAGCAGTGCTAATGTTAAAAAGCAACTTCATATTAATAGAAACAGGAGACTGAGTGCCTGGTGAATAACTGAATTTTAAGCACTGTGTGAAGTATTAAACTTTTCTGAGCCCATCACCTTATCACCCTCATGGGTGGGTAGAGCCTGCTGTTCCCTTTTAAGGGAGCTCTGGTGGCCTAGTGGGAAGAAGCTGAGCTGCAATCCCAAAGGCATGTGGTTCAAATCCACCAGATGCTCCACTGGAGAAGGAGGGGCAATCTCCTCCTGTGCCAGTCGGATCCAATTTGATGGTACACACACACACACACACACAGAGAGAGAGAGAGAGAGAGAGAGAGAGAGAGAGAGAGAGAGAGAGGCACGCTGTGCTGCAATCCCATTTTAAAGAAACAAAGGCTGAGAGTAACTGTGCTAGGAAAAGGCAGACCAAGGACAAGAACAATGAATAGAGGTTTATGGATTACAAGGCCAGATCTCAATTATCTGGGGGCAGATCAACCATGGTGGAAAGAACCATAATGACTCAGACGAGAAGACAGAGAAAACACCGAAGGTTGAAAGCCTAGATCAGATCTAAGACTTAGATGCCAACTTCAGGTGGCTGAACACCACTGAGTACAGATGTGATCTTTAAAAAAGGTAAAGAGAACAAACCTAGGAGTTAAAATTTGAGCATCACAGAAAGCCACATAACGAACAAAGAAAAAATTGTTAACTGTTTAAAATGTGGGAAGAATGGGAATGCCAAACAGCTGGTGCTATGACACAGAAATAAGTGGCTTCAAATTTGGAAATCCACCTCGTTGAGGGTCTCTCTCCCGGACCCTCCACCTTCCTCAGTCTTTTTCTAAGGAGATGGGCTGACACAGTGACCGCAACAATGGGCTCGAGCATATCAGGGATCATGCGAACTGCAAGGACAGGGAGAGGTTCAGATCCTGTCCTGTTGCTCACAGGCCACGAGGAGTCTAGATTGGGAAAGTAAAGAACTAGCACTTTCTATTGTATCCAACAGCAAGACTGAACATAAAGTGCAAACCACAAAGCCCAAACGAGGCTCGGGACGAGGTTGCTCAGGGATTTTTTCTTGACAAAGTAGAGGATAACCAAGAGTTCCAAGGTTCTTGGCCGCCCACCATTTGGGACAGTAGGAACTCAGGGCTGAGAAGTCAGAAGAGGTGTATGTACTCACTGAACACAAACATTTAAATAAGAGGCATCCCCACTGCACACGCCCAAAGCCAGCAGAGTGTGATCATACAAGGCACGTGTAGCCTGTGGCATTGAAAACGGGCAGCATGATGTAGGTGAGGGCTTAGCCGAGATCTGGTATCTATAAGGGCGGCAAAAGGTGGAAGGAGCTGGGACTGGGAAAGGGTTATATAAAACTGGTCAGATTGTGAAGGACTAATCCTTTAAACCAGCCTATACAACCAGAATGAGCGAAGCCCAGAGAAATGAGAAATGTGTGAAAAGGCTGGTTTAATGAAAGCTGCCCAGTCAGCGCAGTGGTCAAAGGCTAAGCCAGGTTCCACATGGAGCTTACTATAACCAGAGCATAAGGTAACTTCACCGAGCCCCTAATCCCCATGCTTCCCCAGATGAAGACAGAAACAGTACCGCTGTGCTTGCTTCGGTAGCACATACACTAAAACTGGAATGATACAGAGAAGATTAGCATGGCCTCTGTGTAAGGAGAACACACAAATCTGTGAAGCGTTCCATATTTTTAAAAAGCAAACAAAACCCCCCTCAAAACGCCACCTCTCTCACAGGGCTGTTGCACGCCATGCCCAAGACGTAGTAAGAACTCAAGACATGATAAATATGAAGTACCTAAACTGTCAGGATAAAATTCTGAAGCATTCAGATGACAAATAAAGTAAGTTAATAAACACTGAGTATTAACCTTAATTAGGTTCTGATTAAATGGATGTAGAATCCAATTCTGATGTGTGGCTTAAACCATGTTTTAGAAAATCTGTGAGTTTTCCTTTGCTACTCCAGCCAATAGAGTTGAATGTATTTTAAAGGCAACAATAACAAAAAGCATGATTATTGTTTTGTAAAAGCTTGTAAAAGACTCATTTGTCATTATTTAATGGGGTGACAAGAACAGCAAACCTGAGGATAAGACCAGGTTAAGGACAGTGTTTACTACCCAAATGTGTAATACGAACTTGTGTCTGATGGCATAAGGCTAGTTATTCTGAGGGAGCTCCTTGGCGGCAAGAGCGGGGGATTCTGTGTCTCATATACTTTGGGCTTGTTGTCAGGAGGGCCAGTCCTTGCAAAAAGACATGCAGGGAAAGGCAGAGGGTCAGCAAAAGGAAGGCAGGTCCCGGAGGATATGACCTGACACGGTGACTGCAGCACGCACTGCATGGTAGAGGTGGGAAGGATGGGACAGGGAGGGCAGGGCTTCCATCTGTAGTTCACTGTGGGTCACAGTTGACCAGATGGCACCTAACAACAAAACAATTACTCTGACCTTTTATTATAGCAGTAACCTTGGTGAATCACTGCTGACCATTGTTTAGGAAGCCCCAATGCAATGTTCTTGTTATGTGCCACTGAGTTGCTTGCAACTGATAGCAACTATGTACAACAGCCCTAAACCCTGCTCTATCCTGTGCCAATCTTATTGTCTCTGACACACCTACACCCATTACCCCAGGCACTGAGTCAATCCATGTCATCCAGGGTCTTCCTCTCTTGTGCTGACCCTCCACCCTCCCAAGCATGACCATCCCTCGCCAAGGACTGGTCCCGCCTTGCAACATGTCCAGAGTATGTAAGACGGAGCTTCAGAATCCTTGCCTCCAAGGAGCAGGCTGGCTTCACCCTCTCCATGATTAAACCTGTTTGTTCTCCTTATCAGTCCATGGTATATTCAATACTCTTCTCCAGCACCACAGCTCAAAGGCATCAATTCTCTTTTTATCAACACTAGTTATTGTCTAGCTTTCTGATGCATAGCAAGTAACTGCAAAGACTAAGGCCTGGATCAGGCACATTTTAAGTCTCCAGACTGACACTGAGGCTCTTCAGTACTTTGGAGAGGTCTCCGACAGCAGACTTTCCCAGTGCAATTTGTCTTCTAATTTCCTGGCTGCTGGTACCAAGAGTGTTAAACCTGGTTCCTTCCCTGCAGGTAGGAAACCACCCCTCATTTCCGTCTGAGGGTCAAGCTCTCCACCGCTTGTCTTCCAGGGGATGCTGGCCACAGGCTCAGCTTGAAGAGATACAGGAACTGCTACTTAAATAGGTTACAGACGTACTTTGGCTAAGTCTCTTAGCCACTGCACTTGAGTTAGAGCACTGAGTAATGAAGAGGGACACAGGTGGATTAAATCCTTTTGAAGGGTCCTTCCCGCTATGAAAAGTGCCCATTTCTACATAAAGGTAAGGATGATGCTTGGCTCTTGGTTTACAGCATGGTGTAAACACCCTGAAAGCTGCACAACCCATTTCTTTACCTGGCAATCTCACATTTGTTCACGTCCAGTCCCCTCTTGGGCATGTAACCCATCCCTCTCTGAGGCTCTTTGCTGCTGAAAGTGTTGAGGTAGTGGACATAGGGAGACTCATCGGTGATCTCAAAGTAGCGGATACTGCTGTCGCCCTACAAGAAATTAAAAGACAGGTTTTGTGTTTAACATCAACAGAAGAGTCTGGTGTAAGTGAATGGCTCTCGCGCGCGTGCTCTCTCTCTCTCCCGTGAACCCAGTGCTATTTGGGAGCCTTTTATCAAGAGGCTTGCCTAAGGTCTAGGCCAGTTTATCGTCCTTGTTTGTCAAGAACAACATGCCCTGGAGAAGGTTCTCTCAGCCTTCTAGAACAGCTCTACCTCCTTTCTCTAAGCCCAGACATCAAAGTACAGTCAGGATGAAAATGGTAACTCCTGCTGCCAAATAGCACACTGCGATTCAACTTTCAGAGAGTAAAGAAATCCCACCCAGTCATGAGGTTCAAGGGGGCAGTTCAGTCAGTGATTTATGAAGAACTATTCATTGACATAACGCAATGCCCAAGGGGCATGGTCAGATGATGTTATTAACAGTGTTTTCTTCCATTAAATAAGTATTTTTAGTGAGTCACTGGTGGTCTAGTAACAAGAGCTGCACTGCCAACCAAAAGGTATGTGGTTCGAATTCAACAGCTGCTTCTCAGGAGAAAGATGGGAAATCTCCTCTTGTATGACTTATGTTGTTGTTGTTATGTGCTGCTGAGTCGCTTGAGACTCATAGCAACCCTATGTACAACAGCTCTAAACCCTGCTCTGTCCTGTGTCAATCGCACCATCTCTGACACACCCATCCAGATTATCCTAGTCACTGACTCAATCCACCTCACAGAGGGTCTTCTCCTCCTGCGCTGTCCCTCCACCCTCCCAAGCATGATGTCCTTCTCCAAGGACTGGTCCCTCCTTACAACATGTCCAAAGTATGTCAGACAAAGCCCCAGAATCCTTGCCTCCAAGGAGCAGCCTGGTTTAACCCTCTCTCGGTTGAACCTGTTTGTTTTCTTAGCAGTCCATTCAATACTCTTCTCCAGTACCACAGCTCAAAGGCATCAATTCTCCTTCTATCCTCCTTAGTCACTGTCCAACTCTCTGCCCCATAACAAGTAACTGCAAAGACCATGGCCTCTATCAGACAACCTTAATCTCTAGAGTGACACCACTGCTCTTCAGTACTTTGGAGAGGTCCCTAACAGCAGACTTTCCCATCGCAATACATCAGCTAGTAGTCAATTCCGACTTGATGGCACATAACAACAGCAACAACATCCTCTAAGTGAAAAGCAGTACTTATCTCACAGTAGGGGCGAAAGTCCAAGTTATCTTGTGCAGAACAGCCAGACACTTTGGAAATCCCACCTGCTGCTAGTCTTGAAAAGTGTAACTGATTATTACACAACTGTTCCCTCCTGAGCAGTAATGACACTCCTGCTCGGTGGAGGGGAGATGCACACAAGGAAAATAGCATAAACCACAGTTTCCACGAGAAAGTGACAGAAAAGCAGCTACTCATCTTCTTTGTTTTCTGCATACTCCAAAGAATTTTCCACCTGTTCTCCCTAGTATCTGAGTAACCTGCTCCCTTTGTGATTGACAGCTGTTAACATCTGCAATTAAATGGTTTGTAAGGAAGCTGAAAAGATCTCTGCTTCCAAGTAACTGGCCTACAAAAACACAAAGCCAGCCCATAGCGTGCTCACTAGAGAAATCGTATGAACTGCTGCGTCACATTAATATCCACGCTGCAGGCAGCCAGGGGCTTCCCTACAGGGTGGTGACATACTGTAATGGCTCCACTGGTTTCACTACAAAAAGAGACAGTCTTTATTTGCAGGGGCTGCAATTCTCTACACAGAAAAACCCTAAAGACTGTATTAAAAACAAACCACACCAAAAAACCCTCTACTAGAACTGTAACTTTAGCACAGCTGGGGAGCTCTGGTAGTCTAGTGGTAAGAAGTTATACTGCCAACCAGAAGGGACATGGTTCAAATCTCCATGGGAGAAAGATGGGCAATCTCTTCCTGCACATCTGCCTGTCTCTAAAAACCTGCTGGAGGGTCAACTATGAGTCCGTTCTGATTTGAGGGCATTGAACAGTGCAGAATAACAAGTTAACATTAGATAACTAGTAAAATGTGTATGAGGATATAAGGTGGGGAGCAGAGGGGTGAGGATTGACGGGGGGGGGGGGGTGGTAATCAGAGGGTCGCACAATCTGATAGGTGGAGGGTAGGGTGGGTTAAGGAAATGGGAAAGATCTGGTATGAAAAACAATGTGAGAGGACTTTCTAAGTAAGCCAGTACAAAACAAAAATTTTATTTTAAAAAAGTTAGTATTTTTTAAAAAAACCCTAACAACAAACCAATTATATTTCTCTATTATTGCTGTTGATTGCTATGGAGTTGAGCATGACTCACAGTAACCCAAATGAACAAACGGCCTGAAGCCTTTCTATAAAGTTCACAGTTTCCAGAGGCATGTTATTTAGGAAGTGGATGCCACTCTTGCTTCCAAATTTCTACAGAGGAACATTTAAAAATTTTAAAAACTTGGTGAAAACATAGATAACAGGATGTACTCCCTCATCATTTTTCCCATGTGCAGTTCAATGACACTGAAGCTGTGTGACCATTCTCTTTCTACCCACTATTTCACCACCAACTGGACTCTTTTCCCCTTAAATGTCTGTGTGTTTGAGGGTTGTCAAGTGGATCTCATTTAGACCATTTTTTGTTAAAGAGCACATGCTCCATGAAGTGAACATTCCGTACAAGCTATGCTGAACTATACAAAGTTCTAGGAAGACTGAAGCTACAAAGAATTCTAGAACTGACGTTATCACTTTCCAAACAGAAATCACCATCAAGCTACCAATAATTGGGTGAGGCAGAGATGAAAATCACAGGATGTTCTGAATCCAGGGTGGTTTGTCACAACTTCCTGTGACAGCTACCATCAAACTCTAGCCAGACCACATGTTTTCAGGTCCAGTCCTAATGCTGAACCCAAGGATAAGAGCCCACTGGAGGTTCCGTGAGGCCCCCCGAGCTCTTATTAGCACAAAGCACTATTCTTGTTTCTAGCTTACATCAAGTGGTAGCTAGTGCATAAATGTTAATCTAGGTCAACCAACAGATTTCAGCATTAGATGTGGCACATGGGTTACTCATCTCTGATAACAACAACGGAAACTGTAAATCAAAAACCTCACCTCACCCTCAGTGGAACAACCTGTTTGGAAGGGTTTCCTTCTCTTACTAGAAAACCCTGAATAACGGCTTCCTCACCAGCCTCGCCTCAAAGCCCAAAGTACTGACCCCAGCACAGTCATACTGGACAGCTGGCAAGTTACAGAGGTTCCAGTCTAAAGACCCCCAACTTACCGAAATCACCTGCCTTTATCTTTGCCCAAGACACACATATATACACACACAACACATTAAAATATTAAAATGATAACAATATATTTACTGTTCACCTTCCAAATCTCTAAAGGATAAATCTCTTACAGGATTAAATTAAAAAAACCACAAACTTAGTGTAAGTTTAAAAGAAGGATTTTTCATTTATTCATTAATATACATTTCTCTCCTTGTCCCAACTTACCTCATTATGCGTGTCTTATTGCAGACTGTGAGTTGCTTATAGGATTAAATTGAATACATATGTAAAAGCAATGATTTACCTTTCCACATAAGTAAATAATACTAGTGTCGGGATCATAGAAAGGCAGCAACACCCCATTGCTAGTGTCCATTTCATGAAGAGCAATTGGTTCTTGCATATTTTTCTGAGAAGGGGAAAAAATATATAGAGATTTTTAAAGACGAAGTTTTAGAACCTTTCATACATTGATTTATGCTCCAGTTAGCCATTTTCCTAGATATCTAATTTAAATCATAGAAGTTTGACTGATGCACGGATTAGTATTTGCACAAGGTCTACTGAGGATATGAAACAGCATCAAACCCACTGAAAGTGGCTGATCTGGCAACATAATAAATACATACAACAGTGTAATTAAAAACAGGAAGAAAAAGAGTGTCCTTCCTGGTGACTATTCTTTTTAAAAAGTATTCTCTTTAAATGAACACATGCTCATGGTAGAAACTTTTAAAACTTAAAACCATTTTAAGAAGATTATCCCTTAGTGCTCCATCCCCACATCCAACAGATAGAAGCATCACAACCACTGTGGTCTATTTCCCTCCAACAACATCACATATACACTCTAATGGAAATGTACTATATTCGAGTTCAGCATTTTCCCACTTAAGTGGTTATGAACATGACATTTTCCCAAGCATGATTTGTCTGGCTTAAGCCATATTCTTTACAAAATATACTACTTTTTCTTTTTTTAAAAAAATAAATAAATAAATAAAATAAACACCACCCAAACCCACAACACAAAAGTTTCCAAAGTCTAACACCTTTTTAGAAACTTTGGGCATTTTTAGTAAGAACTAAGAGTGTATTTTGGAATATATTCAAGGAGGATGAGAATCTGATATCCAGTTTACAACCAGCAGAAGTTGATAAAATTATACTACCACCCACTTTCAAAACAAGAATCCCAACGCCTGTGCTGCTGAGCCGACTCTGACACTGGCTCCTTGGAGCCCAAAGGTGTTCAATGATGTAATCTCTAAGGAGTAGGAGCCTTGGTGGCATAGCGCTTAAAATGCTTGACTCCTAATGTAAAATTCCACCATTCAAATCCATGGAGAAAGACGTGGCAGAATGTTTGTCAGGACTCAGGACCGTGGAAGCCCTATGGGATGGTTCTGTTACTCTACAGCATCAGCAAGGGTCAGAACTGACTCAATGGCAGCAGGATTAGTTTCCGTCTTTATGGAAGCAGACTGGCAAGGTGCAGATGGTAGAATCGAACCACTCTGCCTCTGGTTAGCAAGGTGCTCGGCAATGCGCCATCAGGGCTTTTTATAATCAACCCTAAAGTCCATTCAGAAATGAGAAAGGTCAAGGGACAGCTCCGCAGACAGGCTGGGCAGGGCATACCGGGTTCCAGAGAGCCAGCTGCCGCTCGCTCATGCGGCTGAAACCAGTGGTGAAGACGTTGCCGTCAGCCAGGAAGATGGCTCTCATGGGCCGCGCACCTTCGTGGGCTTTCTCTTTCTCCTGTGGGGGTGGGGAGAGAAGAAGGGCACATTAGAGCCATGGGAAGGTCAATTGAGGGGCGAGAACTCCTACACTGAGCCCAACGCGCGCTGTGTGCTAGTCACTTCAGGAGAAAACCTGTTGCTCATATTATGAAAATTTTATTTTTACCATGATTTGAGTGAAAGTTTATAGAACAGATTGGTATTCTATTTGTCTATATTTTATGTCACTGATTACAATCCCCATGTTGTAACAGCATCCTTCCCATTCTCCTCTGTGGTTTTGTTTCCATTCATCCTTCTAGCCTCTTCCTTCTTAGGGGTTGATTGTCCTGTGCCATCCTATGGTCTCTGATACGCTCATCTTTTGCTGGTGTTAAGCACCGCTGAGGTGACTCCGACTCATAGCGACTCTGAACTATGGCTTTGAACCCTGTTTTACCCTGTGCCATTCTTCATTAGTTCTGATATATTTGAGCCAACTGTTACAGTTACAGTATTAATCCATCTCATTGAGTTTGAGGGTCTTCTATTTTGCTGACCCTCTACCTACATTTCCAAGCATGATGTCCTTTCCCAAGGACCAGCCTCTCCTAACAGCATGCCAAAAAATATGTAAGAAAATTTTACCACCCTCACCTCCAAGGAGCACCCTGGCTGTACTTTCTCCAAGGCCTATTTGTTTGTTCTCCTGGAAGTGCGTGGGATATTCAGTACTGTTCTCCAACACCACAACTAAAAGGCATCGATTCTTCTGTCACCTTTAGTCACTGTCCAACTTTCAGATGCATAGCAAGTAACTGAAAAGACTATCATTTGAAACTGACACACCACCATCTTTAAATTAACATCCTGCACCTTAGGTAGAACCTTGACAGCAGATCTGCCCAATGCAATACGTCTTATGGTTTCTTGACTGCTGATACCGAGGGGTGGACTGTAGATTCAAGTAAGATGAAATCACTGACAACTTCAGTCTTCTATCTTAATACTGCCTATTGGTCTAGTGGTCAGGATTTTAATTTTCTCGATGTCGAGATGTAACCCATATTGAAGTCATGGAAACCATACTGATGTCTGTTGTTTAGCTGAAAGTTGAACCATGTTGTTGTGTGCTGTCGAGCCGCCTACGACCTATGTACAACAGCCCTAAACCCTACTCTATCCTGTGCCAATCTCACTGTGTCCGACACACCTACCTCCATTACCCCGTCAGTCACTTAATCAATCCACCTCATCGAGGGTCTTCCTCTCTTGTGCTGTCGCTCCACCCTCCCAAGCATGACGTCCTCTCCAAGGACTGATCCCTCCTTGCAACATGTCCAAAGTATGTCCGACAAAGCCTCCAAGGAGCAACCTGGCTCCATCCTCTCTAGGATGAACCTGTTTGTTTTCTTAGCAGTCCATGGTATATTCAATACTCTCCTCCAACACCACAGCTCAAAGCCACCAATTCTCCTTCTATGATCCCAAGTCACTGTCCAGCTCTCTGACACATAGCAAATGATTGAAAAGACCATGGCCTATATCAGGCGCACCTTAGTCTGTGTTGCTCTTCAGTATTTAGAACCATGAGATGGGCTTAATTCTAGGATCAGAGGACAACTAGCCATATAGTCTTAAGAGATTCACTAGTCTCTCTCTGACCAGGAGCCCTGGCAGTTTTTATGATTTTGAATGTTCTTCTGTATCTCCCACTCTATCCCAGACTCTTCATGGTGACTCCTTCAGTGAGAAAAGTTTATTGGTGTTATGTTATGTTATGGACTAGTTGTTTTCACGCATCTTTGATTTTCTTCACTGTCTTGTTCCAGACAGGGAGAGACCAGTGGTGCACCACTGACAGCTACTCATAAGCTTTCTGAGGAGCAGTGATGTCAGTTTGAAGAGTAAAGTGTGCCTGCGAATTTGAGAATGAATAAGGATGACAGAATTGACACCTCTGAGCTGTGGTGCTGGATAAGAATACTGAGGACTTCATGGACTGCCAAAAGAATAAACAGATTAAGTCTTGGAGAAAGTGCAGCCTGAGTGCTCCTTGGAGGCAAAGATGATAAAGCTTTGTCTTGTATACTTTGGACATGCTGCTTGTTGTTATGTGCCACTGAGTCGCCTGCAACTCATAGTGACCCTATGTATAGCAGCTCTGAAGCCTACCCTGTAGTTTCATCAACTCCAACACACCTACCCTCAGTGTCCCTGTTACTATATCAAACCATGCTTCCAGCATCTTCCTCTCCTTCCTGTGCTGTCCCTCCATCCTTCCAAGCAAGATGTCCTTCTCCAAGGTTCAGTCTCTCCTGACTACGTGCCCAAAATATTTGAGCCAGAGCTTCAAAATCCTAACCTCCAAGGAGAAACTTGGTTTCACCCTCTCTTAGACAGACCTATTTGTTTCCTTGGTGGTCCGTGGTATGTTCAAGACTCTTCGCCAGCACCACAACTCAAAGGTATCAGTTCTTTTTCTGTCATTGCTGCTAGAAGAGGCTATTTCTTGGAGAGGGACATCATGCTTGAGAAGGTAGAGTAGGCGAAGGAGAGGAAGACCCTCAACGAGACAGACTGTCATAGTGATCAGTATGTCAGAAAGTGACAATGGCACAGGATAAGACGGTTCAGATCTGTTGTTCATGGGGTTGCTATAGGTTGTACTCTTGACAGCACCTAACACCAACAAAAACACCATATGCATTTTAAGGCCCCATTGTTACCTGTCAACGCTGGGTACAGAATGTCATCTGTGTGGGCTATGCTATGCCAACTGACTTTGACGCTCCCTGAGACAATAGTCCTGAGGCCCCAGGACCACTCATTCCCTTAGGACATTTTTTAATGATCAAGAAATTGATGTAACTTTGCCCCCTGGTAGCTCTACGATATATGTGGCCTTATATGCAGCACATACACATGTAACTGAGTCAGATGATACATGTGCATTTGTATAGCCTTTCTCTTTACCCAACCTGGCATGTATCTCATCTAAGCACTGATTTTCTTTCCTTTTCCATCCCTGGCGACCATCAATCAGCGTTTCATTCCATGTGTAACCTTGAACTCGTCCATTTTTTCTTTTGTGACTGTGACTTTTATCATTCAGCACAAAGTCTTCCATGTTTATTCGGGTTATGCTGTGCTCCACAATTAATCATTAATCTTTAATGTTGCATAGTATTCTACTGTATATATGTACCATAGTTTATCTAGTCATTTGTTGATAGGTATGTAGGTTGTTTCCGTCTCTTTTCTATTATACATGGTGCAATGAACATGGGTGTGCACATATCTGTACATATTCTGGCTCTTATCTCTTTGGGATATATGGACAATGAGGACGGATGATCGAAAGAGAATTGATGCTTTGAGCTGTGATGCTGGGGAAGAGTGTTGAATATACCATGAACTGCTAGGAGAACAAACAGGTTTGTCCTGGAGAGGGTAAAACCAGGCTGCTCCTTGGAGGCAAGGATTCTGAAGCTTTATCTGACATACTTTGGACATGTTGCAAGGAGAGACCAGTCCTTGGAGAAGGACATCATGCTTGGGAGGGTGGAGAGACAGTGCAAGTGAGAAAGACCCTGAATGAGTCGGATTGACTCAGAGACTGTGGTAATGGGGGTAAGTATGTCAGAAACAATAAAGCTGGCACAGAATAGAGGAGGTTTCAGAGCTACTGTACACAGGACTGCAATGAGTCACAAGCGACTCGACGGCACATGACAACAACAGCATACCTAGGATTGGAATTGCTGACTCATGACATTTCCAACTCTGCGTGTGTACCGTCAAATCAGATCTGATTGGTAGAGGAGGAGACTGCCTGTCCTTCTCCAGCAGTGCACCTAGTGGATTCGAACCACGTACCTCTAGGATTGCAGTGCGGCTTCTTGTGACTAGGCCACCAGAGCTCCCTGACATTTCCAACTTTTTAAGAAGACCATTTTCCAGTTCTACCAACAGGGTGTGAATGCTCCAATCTCTCCACATTCTTGCTAGCATTTGTGGTTTTCTGTCTTACTGAACTTTGCTATTATTACTGGGGTTAGATGATGTATCACTGTCATTTACATCTGCCTCTATCTAATGTTGTTATGTGCCATCGAGTTGCTTGAACTCATGGCAACACTATGTACAATAGCTCTGAACCCTGCTTTACCTTGAGTCAGTGGGGGTAGGTGTGTCTGATACAATGAAATTGGCTAATGTTGTTGAAAGAAGGTTATTCATTGAAAAGGAACATGATGCTTGGGAGGGTGCAGGGTCAGCAAAAGAAAGGAAGATCTTCCACCAGGAGGACTGACATGGTGATTGCAGCCATGGCCTTTAGTGTGTCAGAGATGTGAGGACGGTACAGGATAGGACAGGGTTCAGATCTGTTGTTCACAGGGTGGCTATGGGTTGTACTTGACTCAACAGCACCTAACAACAACAATGGCTAGCGAGGGAGCTCAGGGGGCCTAGTGAGTAAGGAGCTGTGCTGTCAACAGAAGGTACGAGGTTTGAGTCCACCAGTTACTCTGCAGGAGAAGGCTGGGCAGTCTCCCCTGTGATTTACTGTCTGGAAACCCGCTGGAGGCTCAGCTGTAAGTTGGCTCTCACCTCAACAGCACTTAAGTGCAGCAACAGTAATGGCCAATGATCAAGGACATTTCTCCATGTGTTTATCGGCCACAGGAATGTCTCACTGGTGAAAACAGTATGTTTTATTTACATCTGTTTAGATTATGCACAGCAGGACGCTCACCAACCCAACAACAAATGTACCTTTCAGTACAGTCTTCAAGTAATACCACTGGTCACATACTCTCTTGTTCTGAGCTATTCCTCCTATTCACACTCTAAACCTACTGTCCCCTAAGCTTCGAGGTTTTGCCATTAATTTGATCCCATTTAGATGGTTCTTCGCAGGCAAATGGTCAAGGCAGCCATTTTTCACTTGTTCGGCTAAACTACTTTTGGGATCTGCTACCTCTAAGCAATTATCTGTGGAGGCACGTGGGGCATTAGCTCATCGATCTTCAGTACTAAAGCACGGGCCCAGGAGTGAAGCCAATTGGTTTAAGTTGATCTAGGCTTGTAAATCATACGATCAAGAGCCAGTGCTAATGAAGGAAGAAATTCAAGCTGCACTGAAGACACTGGAAAAAAAGAAGGCTCCAGGGTTAGATGGGAGGGCAACTGAAATGTTTCGAATGACAGACACCACCCGGGATGTGCTCAAAGGTCTATGCCAGGAAATTTGTAGGACAGCTGCCTGACTGAATGACTGGTCCCATTCCCAAGAAAGGTGATCTAACAGAATGTGGAAATTATCAAACAATGTCATTAATATCACATGCAAGCAAAATACTGCTGAGGATCTTTCAAAAGTGGCTAGAACCAAACACAGAATACTGCCAGACGTTTGAGCTGCATTTAGAAGAGGCTGTGGCACCAGAGGTATCGATGATGCCAGCTGGATCCTAGATGAAGAAATAGCCAAGAATACTAGAAGAATATCTGTTTGTGCTTTACTGACTATACAAAGACATCTGACTGTGTGGATCATGTCAGATTGTGACTAACTTTGAGAAGAAAAGGAATCTCAGGACTTGATTGTGCTCATGCAAAACCTATATTTAGCCCAGGAAAAAGTCGTCAGAACAGAGCAAGTAAACACTGCACAGTTTAAAATTAAGAAAGGTGTATGTCAGGATCGCCTCCTTTCTCCATAACTATTTAATCTATATACTGAGCAAATTATTCAAAACTTTTGAAGAAAAATGTGGCATCAAGACTAGAGAAAGACTCATTAATAACCTTCATTATGCAGATGACACAACCTTGCTGAAAGTGAGGAGGACTTGAAGTACTTGCTGCAGAAGGTTAAGATTGCATCTCAACATCAAGAAAACAAAAATCCTCACCACTGGACCAATAGGCAACATCATGACGGACAGAGAAAATATTGAGAGTGTCACTGAATTTATTGTACTAGGATTCACAATCAATACACTTCATACCAGCAGTTAGGAGATCAGGAAATGTATTGCACAGAAAAAGTTGATAGTCAGGGACCTCTCCAAATTATTGAGGGGAGTCAGTTTGAGGACTAAGATATACCTAATTCAGGTCACGGTCTTTTCAGTCACTTGTTATACATCTGAAACCTGGCCAGAGAATTTGGATAACAGAAGAATTGATGTCTTTAAATTGTGGTGTTGTAGAAGAGTGATGAAGTCCCATGGACTCCCAGAAAAACAAACTGTTATGTCTTAGAGAAGGTACAGTCAGAATGCTCCTTGAAGGCAGAGATGATGAAGCTTCATCTTACATACTTTATTTAGTTCAGGCATGTTATTAAGAGAGGCTATTCCTTTAGTGGGACTTCATGGTTGGGAAGGTGGAGGGATGGCAAGAAAAGAAGACCTTCAACCTAGTGGGTTGATATGGTGACTGAGCTGATGGGCTTCAGTGTGTAAGAGGCTGTGAGGATGGCATGGTATAGAACAGTGTTCAGATCTGTTGTTTACAGGGTTGCTATGAGTCATACTCAACATTCAGTCACAAAGGACAAATCCTGCATGGTGCCACTGTTGTAAAACAGGACTGACATCGGGGTTGGGGGGAGACTGAGAAAGATGGGTTCAATAATGTATGCTGCATTGAAACAGATGAGGGAGAAAACTGTTTAAAAGGGGTATGTGATTAGTTATTATTGTCATGACAGGAGTCCAGAATGAAGGCTGCATAGTGGAGTGGACCTGGGGGGAGGGACTATAAAACAATGGGGGAACTTTTCTTTTACTTTTCAAAGAGAAGAGTGTACTGGGGGGTGGGGGAGAGAAGGATGGGCAGGGAGAAAAGTGCAACAACTAATGAATGGAAATCCAAAGTCTCTGTAAATTTTCATTAAAATTAATAAAAAAAATGGTAACTTGGTTAAAAAAAGAGTGACAGAACTGTAAATTCCTAAGGACACTAATGAGCGATGAGATTAAGAACTCGGGAGGACAATGTGGCTGGGGAGCGAGGTAGCACATGATCTCTTTCTAGTCAGGTGACTGTAAGCAGCAAGAGCTCCCTGCCCTGGGGCCGACCTTAAACAGCTGAAGGTCTGTGTGATACAGACATGGACTCAGTTGTCCTAAGAGTATACTTACAGCAATGATCTCCTGCTTCCGAGGATCAATGACTCTCACTTTCTTGTCCTTGGATGCCGTGCAGATCAGACTGCCATTTCGGTTCCAGCTGACGTTGTAGATCATGTCCGAGTGCATATCATCCAAGTTTATGAGGGCTTCCCCAGTGCCCACGTTCCAGATAATGATTGCATTATCGCAGCCTAGAAGGAAGCAGATGTACACCTTGTCAAGATGAAGATCAGAGTACCTGTGCGACAACACACTTGAGAAGGTGACAAATGGTGGTGCGGTGGCACAGTTCACCGGAAAGTTGTTGGTCTGAACTCACCAGCTTCTCTGCAGAAGAAAAGATGACTGCTTCTGTGAAGGTTTCCCGTGGGGAATGGGGATGGGGGTGGTTTCCCTAGGGGGTCCTCTAGTGGGAGGGCCCTCTAGTGGTAGTTCTCTGGGGGTATCTTCTGAAGGGGGGCCCTCTGGGGAATCTCTAGGGGGCAGATGCACTTTGTCCTTGATGTTGTTGCTATGTCCCATAGCGCTGGAAGTGACACACAGCTGAGCCCTCAGTGGGTTTTCAGAGGCTATAAATTGTACAGAAGGAGACTGCCCATCTTTCTCTCACAAAGAAACTGGCAGCCTCAAACTGTATGCCTTTGGATTTGTAGCACAGCCCCCTACCCACCTAGGTCACCAGATCTTGCTTTTCTGAGCCAAAACAGACTTGACAGCATACAACAGCAACAGTGTGTTGGGGGGAAGGGAAGTTGGAGGGGAGAGAAATGGGTACTGACTGTGCATGGGCTTTAGAAACTAAAATGGCAAAACAACAAGAAAGTCTTGTAAAAGAACTAAAAGTGGTAAAGGAAGAAGACAGTTTATTAAGTTGTGGTTCATATAAAACAAACAAAAACAAAGGAGGTGGCCTAGTGGCAAAAGCTGCGCTGCAATACTGAAGGCACACAGTTCCAGGCCACCAGCCACTCTGCAGGAGAAGGATGGACAATCTCGTCCTGTTCAATTAACTACCTCTGAAAACCCACCAGAGGGTCGGCTATGGGTTGGTTCTGACTCGACGGGACACAACAATAAGCCCAAATAGAACATAAATTTTGTGTCCCCATTAGGTGGCTGAGGTACTGCAAGGTTCACTGTCTAGTAAAGCAGGCATCAAAAGGAAAGTGGGATCTTTCTTTCCAAGAGGAACTAAAAATAAAGTGCTTAAATAACTGTTTAGGACACTAGAGAAGCTTCCATGGCAGGCTGCTGAAATCAGTGCTATGTTAAATATGGCCCTGGGCCCAAGGAAAGTAAATGAGAATGAAAGAAAGGGTCATCCAAGGGCTGGCCTTGGTAACTACAAGCAAATATGTCACTTCCGCCATAGTGGCTGGCTTGCGGGAGTCTTAAAATCCGCAGAGCACCCAATCAGCCGTTCCCCTGTGTGTAAAAGGCAGAATGGGGATCATTCCAAGCGTGGTATCTACTTAGACTTAGAGGAGAAGGGTGGGGGGAAACTTTCCATGAGGGAATTCGCCTCTGGAATTTTCTCCTTATCAGACTGAGGTCCCAGGAGAAACGTGGGCCGGATTCCAGGCACCCCCACTGTAGTGGAGTAGGTTCTTATTTAGAGTGGACCTGCAGGGCGGAGCACAACTGGCCCACTGGGTCTCCGCCTTCACAGAAGCTGGCTGCTCCATCTCTCTTCTGTGCAAGAGCTGGTAAGAGGTGAACCAGCAGCCTTTAGGTTAGCGCCCCCCACCCTAGCTTAATCCACTGCACAAGGGTTCATTTATCAGAATGATGTTCTGGGAATGGCCCTCGGGTATAGGGATTTAAACACAAACACAATCCAACCACGATCATGTCATTTGTGAAAAGCAGCCCTAGGCTTCAACAGGTACCTGACATTTATTTTCTATTTTGGCTGCGTGACAGTTTACAAAACCTCCTCCAAGCTTGCCCTCACTCTTATACCCATGAGGAGGGAAAGAGCTTTAGAGATTCTACCATGAGCACTGTTTTTGTTGTTCAGTGCCATCAAGTCATAGACCACTCACAGCAACTCCATGAAAGAAAGACCTGAACACTTGTATAACTTCCATTTCTCTAAGTTCATAGAGTTTCTGGAGGCAAACTATTTCAGAAGTGGATGCCGGTTCTGCTTCCAAGCTTGTTTTAATCGGGGAGCTCCACCAAACACTGTCCACCATGGGTAATCATGATCACATCTGACACATCAGTGTCACAGTGTTTAGCCTCACAGCAACCATGAGCTACCTCTGTACAGCAAATTGACAGACCAGTGCTATACCACTTAGAAGAATGTTTGATAGGTAAAAAAAAACCCCACAAACCCTCAACTTTTTAAAAAAAAATTTTTTTTAAACCTCAACTTTGGAAATGTATAATTTACATGCAAAAAGAATATGTCCATGTTGAGTAGACATTTGGTAAGTTTTGACAAATGCATGTTTTAACGTAACCATCACCACCAACTATAGAACATTTTCCATTACCCTGCAGACCTCCTGGGGCTTAGATATTGCTTTTCTGAAAGAAGAAAGCATTTGGGGAGAGCATGTTACATTTGGGAGAGGAGCAGACTGTGCTGGGAGACAAAAGCTGGGTGATAATGAAATGTGGAACTGATAAATGCAGAAGGGTTTATGAGTAAAAATTTAAAGATCACCTTAATGCCCTAAACAGAGAACTGATCAAACAAAATGAGGTCTGTCCAGACAATGGACTGCAATATCATTATTAAAATGGCCAGTGGTTGGGGTTCATGGAGGATCCCAGACAGAATCACTCATCACTGAAACTGGGAGAATAAAGTATGTAGCTGCATTTCCCCAACAACAGTTTACAGTTCTGCTGGCTTATCAAAGTGACTTAAAAAACACACACCATGTCCAGGTTAGGGAGCACTGGTGGCCTAGTGGCAAGAGGTTGTACTGCAATCCTGGAGGCAAGGGAGTAGGATGGGCAATCTCCTCGCTGTTGGAGGGTCAGCTATGGGTCAGTTCCGACTTGATGGTACACAATAACAACAGTGATATTCAGGTTGGGGAACCCAGGATACCTCACCATGGTGTCCTAGTGAAGCACTGTATAGATCACCCTCTAATGCACCCTTGGAGACGGATGGCACAGGTAGAGCAGGCCACCCATTGGCAGTTCCTACCTGCACTGAGAAGTACGTTGCGGGCGGTTGGATGCCAGGCCACGATGCCCACTCTCTTGGAGTGGCCTTCCAGAATCACCACTGGCTCTGTAAGCGAGAGAGTGAGTCCATTTTCAGGGATCTGCCATACCTGTTGGGGAAGGAAGCAAGAGGAGCCATGTGTGTAAACTTTCATGAAGAGAACATATGAGGATCTTTGACTAACAGACAGAGTGTGGTGTGACTGGGGAAGGTTATTTTCACACTTTAATATATTAAACAACGGCAGGCCGGGTCATAGGGAGTTTCTATGTTCAGTTTTATGACCCAGCTAGCTATTCCACTACTAGGAAAATACCCTAAGGAAATTAGAACTGAGACACAAAAGGAGATTTGTACACCAATGATCATAACATCATTATTCGTCATCACAAGAACATAGAAACAGCCCAAGTGCCAACCACAACTGAATGGACTGAGAAATTGTGATACATTTACACAATGAAATACTGTGCAATACATCCTCTGAAGCTCAGTATATTACATTAATTAGAGAATTACTTAAGAGCTCAGGGGTAGAAGTAAGACAAAGGTCATTTCTGCACTTGTGTCAGTGTGTGCAGAACACCGTTACTGGTTTAAATCAGTAAATAAAGTGCAGTTAAATGTAAAAATTTGGCAAAATATTGCACAAGGTTTAGGAGAAGCACATCAAAAAAGAGGACAGACTCCTATTAATTTCTGGGCAGTAAGGGCTTTGAAAAGAATAATAAAAATGTCTGTGCAGGATTGTACTCTAATCCAAAAAGTTTGCAAAGAAAAATGGCTGAATCTTTGTACGAATCTGAATCAAGTAATAGTACATTAAAGGAGATTAGAGTTGAAGGTGAAAAAACACCTTGTCATCTTTAGAAAGAGCTTATCAGGGAGCTCTGGTTCGAATCCACCAGATGACCTGCTGGAGAAGGAAGTGTAATCTCCTCCTGTACCACTCAGATCTGATTTGACGGTACACACAAAAAAAATAATTTTTTCTTTAAAAAAAAGAGCTTATCAAAAGGGAGAGATATGATTCCTGTTTCGGTTTGGTCACTATGTAATTTGATCTCATTAGCTTTAAAACCTTTATAGTCAGTCTGAAGAGGAGATGTCTGAAAAATTAGAAGAAAAAATCCCTTCAAAAGAGAGTGATAATGAATCTGACAGATACAAAGGAGAATAATTGAGCAATATAATCCAGGATGATAGTCCTTATGAGAAATTAAGTAAACAAGTTTCAGAACTTTCTAATAAAAGACACAACTTGGGTTCTCATAACGAAATATATTATCAAAGGAAAAATGCAGCTTCAGCAGCAGCAACTGTTCCAGATTCTATGTTATTTAAGTATATGAATCATGCTCTGTTGGGAGTGACTACTTTTTAGAAGCCTTTAACAGTCCTGTCTAGAACCTTGCAATAGGCAAAGCAAGATGATTTATCTAATTGGGGGAAAGGAGCTTCTGTATTTCCAGTTACAATTCAGGATATGCCTTCTGATCAAGATTATCCCCAATGGTATCAATTGTATCAACATCAATCTTTATCTTGTAAGACTATTAAAGAATTGAAGCAAGCCATAGTTGCTTATGGTATGCATTCCACCTATGTAAGAGGCATATTACAAGGATAAGCTACAGAATTAAGATTAATTCCTAATGATTGGGACTCCATGGTCAGGACAGTTTTGAAAACTGGAGCAAATTTACAGTTTAGAACTTGGTGGACTGATGAAGCCACAAATATGGAGAGAATTAATTTATCTGAAATCCTCTTCTTAATGTTATTGCTGATCAATTGCTGGGGAAAGGTCAATGGTTTGGAGTATGAGCTCACTTACAATATGATGATGTTGTGATTATAAAAGTAAGGCTCTGCTGTATGCAAGCATGGGATAAAGCAGAAATTTCAGGAAATGGAGATCAATCCTTTATAAGAACAACAGAATCTGAAAATGAAAAATACACTGATTTTCTATCTAGATTAAAAGATGCTATAATAGAGCAGTTTCTCAATCTGAACGTCAAAAGGCTATTAGACCACCGAAAGTTCAGAATGCTTCCTTAGATGAATATATACGTGCCTGTAGGGACACTGGGACTAGTTCTTATCAAGCCTATAGAAGCCACTTTAAAAGGAACTTTAAATTTGTCTCAAACCAAATGTTACAATTGTGGAAAATTAGGACATTGGAAAAGAGATGGTTGTAAAGAGAAAGGGGAGGAGAATGAGAACGTAAAGAAAAGATTCATTATTTAACAAGTGGAGAGCAACATAACAAATTCCCACTATTTCAACTCCAGAAAAAAAATATGATGCTAATTATGAGTTATATCCCAGGAAAAGGTTTAGGAAAAAAGAAACACAAGAGCCTAAAAGTTTAAGAGCCTAAATCTAATCTATCATGGAAAGGATTAGGATATCCAAATTTATAATGAGGGCCACTGTTTCTTACTATGCTCTCCCCTTAACTTGTCTATCAGATAATAAACCAATTTGGGTGGAGCAACAGCCCCCTAACTAGAGAAAAATTAAGATATTTGGGATTAACACAAGAACAATATTTAGCAGATCATATTAGACCACTGTTGCTGTTGTTGTTGCTGTTATGTGCCGTTGAGTTGCTTGCGACTCATAGCAACCCTATGTACAACAGCCGTAAATTCTGTTCTGTCCTGTGCCAATCCACTGTCTCTGACACACCCATCCTAATTACACCAGTCACTGAATCAATCCACCTCCTAGAGGGTCTTCCCCTCCTGCGCCTGCCCTCCACCCTCTCAAGCATGATATCCTTCTCCAAGGACCAGTCTCTCCTTACAACATGACCAAAGTATGTCAGACGAAGCCTCAGAATCCTTGCCTCCAAGGAGCAGCCCAGTTTAACCCTCTCTAGGATAAATCTGTTAAGCTCAAAGGCATCAATAATCCTTCTATCCTCCCTAGTCATTGTCCAACTCTGACGCATAATAAGTGATTGCAAAGACCATCGCCTGTACCAGACGCACCTTAGTCTCCAGAGATACACTGTTGCTCTTCAGTACTTTAGAGCGGTCCCTAATAGCAGACTTTCCCATCGCAATACGTCTTTTAATTTCCTGTCTACTGGTGCCAAGAGTGTTGATTGTGGAGCCAAGCAAACTAAAGCTGTGAACAATCTCAATCTCTTCACCATCCATCCTGATGCGGCCAATTGGTCCAGTGGTGAGAATCTTTGTCTTCTTGACACTGAGCCTCAATCCATATTGAAGGCTGCAGTCCTTGACCCTCTGCAGCAAGCGCTTCAGGTTCTCCTCAGTTTCAGCAAGCAGGGTTGTGTCATCTGCATAACACAGATTGTTAACAGATCTTCCACCAATCCTGATGCCGCATTTCTCCTCATAGAACCCAGCCTCCCGGATGATCTGTTCTGCATACAGGTTGAAAAGGTATGGAGACAGACACATCCCTGGCATACGCCCTTCCCAATTTTGAATCATGCAGTGTTTCCTTGCTCTGTTCTGATGACTGCCTCTTGGTTCATGTATAGGTTTCGTATTAGCACGATCAAGTGTTCTGGGATTCCCATTCTTCTCAGAGTCAGCCACAGTTTGTTATGATCCACACAGTCAAACGCCTTTGCATCACCAATGAAGCACAGATAGACATTCCTCTGGTATTCCCTGCTTTCAGCCAAGATCCATCTAACATTAGCTACAATATCCCTAGTACCACGACCCCTTCTAAACCCAGTCTGGACTTCTGGCAGTTCTCTGCTGATGTGCTGTTCCAGTCGTTTTTGGATAATCTTCAGCAGAATCTTGCTTGCATGTGAAATCAATGAGATTGTTCTATAGTTTCCACACTCTGTTGAGTCACCCTTCTTTGGAATGGGAACAAATATAGATCTCTTCCAGTCAGTTGGCCAAGTGGTTATTCTCCAGATTTCTTGACACAACCTGGTGAGCACATCCAGGGCAACATCTGTTAGCTGAAATATGTCAACTGGTATACCATCTATTCCTGGGGCCTTATTTTTTGCTATTTCCTTCAAAGCACCTTGAACTTTTTCATCACTGTATGCTCTTGCTCATATGTTTCATTAAATTCTTCTGTGTCTGCCAATTCCTTTCAATACAATGACTCAGTATATTCTTTCCATCCTCTTCTAATACTTCCTGGATCATTTAATATTCTACCTAAAGCATCCTTGATTATAGCAACTGAAGGTTTGAATTTGTTCTTCAGTTCCTTGAGCTTAAGAAATGCTGAGTGAGTTTGGCCCTTTTGATTTTCTGACTCCAGCTCCTTGCACATTTCATTGTAATATTTTACTTTGTCATTCCACACTACCTTTTGAAATCTTCCTTGGAATTCTCCAGTGTTTGTAATAGAAAAGGAAATCAGGTAAATGGACTAACTGGATACTGTCAGTAAAAGTAAAAATTTTTCTTTGCAAGCAGATACTTATACAGATGCAAATAGGATGGGTTATGCAGGTTATACTAATGGTAAAGATAATAACAGTAGTTAAAACTAACTTGCCTTCCGTTCAACAGGCTGAATTACATGCTGTTAACATGTTATTGTAAGATAAAAACTTTCCTTTGAATGTAGTTATTGATTTACAATATGCTGTATTTACTGTTAGAAACACAGAAACAGTATATATTCCTTCTCAAGATACTAATATTAGGGAGCTCTGGTGGCTAAGTGGCAAGAAACTGCGCTGCAATCCCAGAGGTATGTGGTTCGAATCCACCAGATGCTCTGCTGGAGAAGGAGGGACAATCTCCTCCTGTACCAGTCATATCTGATTTGATGGTATACACAAACAAAATAATAAATGGAAAAAAAAAGATACTAATATTACTATGTTATTTAATGTGTTATAAGTTTTAATTCATCAATAAGAATATCCTATATATAAATATATACCACTCATACTCGAGCTAATTCTGGCCTTCCAGGACCAATGTCACAATTAAATGATAAAACAGATCAATTATTGGTGAGAAATATTGTTAGTGAAGATTTTCATCTCCATACTAATTTATATGTCAATGGAAGGATGAAAAAATTTGGAATTACACAGCAACAAGCTTGAGAGATTATACGTAAATGTCCTCAATG